AATGACAGCATCAAGTTATTGAACGTTTGCTTGGCTTATGAAAAAAAAAAAAAAAAAAAACTGTGGTGGTAATTCAGTAGCTATATGACGAGCGGAAGGAATCGTTCACTTCATTAACTTCAAGCCGCTGAAAAGCTCGTCGTCGATGATTTTCGCTAACACCGTACACGATAATCCATTTACTACCGCTGCAACTATGTCCAAAACAATCGACCAGTCTAATCAGATGGGTTACAACGGAAACGGGTACGACGACATTTGGCAAAGAAAGAGCACATATACACGCGCGCATGCTTGCGTAATCCGATCAATTCACACGGCCATTTTGGGGCAGTGGCGACCCACTAACGATATAGTGAGAAAAATTTTCGTTCCTGCCCTGAAATCTTAACTTCCATTCACCCGGAAGCTCCAACGCGACAATACGCTTAGGACAATACGCGTCCATAAGGCACAAAAAGCAATGAAAAATTGCAGTGTGTCTCGCATGTCTGTGGCCATCACCAAAACAAGCGAAAATGTTATGCCGATTTTATTAGGTCAATTTATTACCTACAATAGAGACAGTAACAGCACATTGATTGAACAATAGAAGAAGCAATGTATCAAAGCAAAGGACAAAATCGTATCAGAAGATTAACGGTCTAATCATTACGTTTAACTGTAATCATTTGGGAAGGCCCTTGCCATTCTTGAATCATTGGCAAATGGTAAGCTAAAAAAAAAAAAGACGAAAAATAATTTGGTGTTTTCGTAATCCTGCTCCCACCCAAATGCAGGGCTACGGAAGTGTACATGGACAATTAAAAATTTTGCCAGGAAATCCACCGGGGCTAAGCTAATATATATAGTAATCTTATCTTAGATGCAATGGTAAATTAAATGTTCGTTCCTGAATCTTTGTCGATGAGATTTTTAACCGACATTGTGCAACAATGATCGAGATGTTCGATTCGATGCTGTTTTACCTGGAGAGACCTTTTGTTGCTTTTGCACCTACCTACCTACCTACCTACCTACTTATCTACCTAGAGTAAAAACCAATAGGGCTTGTAATAATCTATCCTTATCAATCAACTGTGTGCCCCGTTCTACGATTGCGGTCTAAGTCTTCGATTTGATCGCCTGTAGTGCTTCTTCATGTAATAAACAATCAACACAAAAGTACGCAAAATTTCCTCGACAACAGTTGACATTACGCTATTTAAAGTGGAAAAAACAATCATCATGTAAGTGTGCAACGTTTCCGTTAAAAATAGACCAGGTGAAACACAACTGAAGTTGTACCAGATACGCCATTTTTTAAGAACTAAAACTTAATTGTTGCTTCTCTGTTATACTTATCAGCTGCTTTACGAGGCTTCCTGCCTTTATTTCCTGTTATGTGTACACTTTTTTATCCTCTAGCGATAGCACCAGATATCGTTAGGCAAACGAATGGTCGGAAGCTTCATAATACAGTGCGTCACAAAGGGCTCCCTTTTATAATCAACCATACGTCATGTTGCATTTTAAAAAGTACTTTCGTTATCGTCGTAAATTTCACATTTACTGGATATGAAAAATGTTTATTCTACGTTGGTAGATTTGTCAGTTTAAGATTTACATATAGCTTGTTTACGATTGAGAAATATTGACCAAAGTGTATGACAAAATTTAGTTTTTTACGATAGATTGCGTATAGTTGAATAATTCAATGAGTCTGGTAAGGAAAATTGCCAAAAAACTGCTTACCCTGTCCGCTAGTCAACGCCTGTATAGTCTAATTTTTGGTTCTTATAAAATAACATACAAGATGTGAATTAATTACGTAAATATCGTACTTAAATGTCCGTATTGTTACTGCTTGCAAAACACAGCTAAACTGGGTTCGTTTTGTAGATACTTTATATTTGAAATACACAAAAAATATTGAGCCAAGTAAATTCATTTTGAGAACTATGCCAGCTTTCAATAGGAAATTGAGTTTCAGCGACGCTGAACAAATAATAGACAGAGCAACATACAGATGGCGCATGACTGATGTACGGGTTTAAGCCAGACGAAGTGAATCTTCGAGTGAGATTTTAGAATATCTATCGTAGGCAGATAGACAAATGAAAAAATCTGATCTTAGTTTGCCAGTGTCATGTCAAGGTTCGATGTTGGGTGTCACACGAACCCGTACACTTAATTAAGTGTCTGGCAACAATTTCGAAACGTATACAATGGTGGGGTAGCGAGAATGCCGCTTCATATGCTAGCGCGTATAAGGAATAGCCCGATTGTCGATGCAATATTTAAGTACTCGACAAATGTCTTCCTTCAAATTATTCCAGTATCGGCGTTGTCAGGGTCAGTTGTTGTTTATGATGGGAACTAGAATGGTACAAAAATGTCCAAGTGAAAATATATTTTCGAAAAAAAAAACGGCTAGAATCACGACCGAGTTTATGACCTTCAGTTTTAAAGAATTCCAACTCGTTTGGTCGCTGCATGCAAAGAAAAAAAGAGTAAAGATGGTTGAATTTGAGAAAAACGTGTACCATTTTCCAGTGATTTCAGGCGTCATCTTGGCATATGCTACACTAGGTATAGCGATCGAGAGCTGATGTGAGTATAAGTGTTCGACGGTTCATCTATTGTGTACCGTGCGGGTGTGGTTCGACAGAGAACTGTGATGAACGACTAATTTCTGTAAATTGATCTGGCCCATAGCCTTATCACAGGCGTGCGTATAACTTCTATGGACAACAAAAAGACTCGTCTTAGATCAACATTACGCAACCGCTAAATTACCTACGTCATCATCATGACAGAAATCTTGGGAACTTGTAATGAAAGGATTACCATAGATGTGTAGAAAATTGAAGTGACAAATGTCCTTTGTGTAAAGCAATCATAGTATATTTTATTCTAGGCTAATTCACATCAGCCAATCCACAATTATCGTAGAAAAATTAGGCCAATAACTCCCCTTGTCCTAATGAACGTAATTTTTAGTAAAATTATTCTTCAGACGATTGTGAATCCAGCTTGTGAAACACAGTAGCATTAACACAGCGAACATTACTATGAGTAGGCTCCTTGAATGAGCAAAAAGACTATTAAATTCCTTATAATCTATGCATTTTGGTTTACGCTACGTTTTAGATCGATATGGAAGTTAATTTCAGATGAACGAATCAGCCATCTAAGCAATCTCCGGTCCCATATTATAAAAGAAAGGAAAATTATTTTCATTATGACAGATCAGGGAAGCCGAGTACGTCCCATGCAAAAAGTCCTGCCTCTCCCGTGCGATATGTAGTAGGACATCGCCGATAAAGGCCATAAATGAGACACGTAGCTGATCTGTCGCTGATCGATGACTGTGATGTGTTGAATAGCCGGAATTTTTCTCGACATCTATGTACAAAACATAAATTCACAGCTCATCGATTAGCTTGCTAGTGCAATATGTTACATTGAGGTTATGTTAGGCTAATTATATTTTCATTATATAGTCTGCCTCACAGCGAGATGTGTTACACTATCTGTATATATACTATTATGACTATGTAAATTTATACAAGTCCTCAAAGGAAAGGCGTCCCAGAAACGCTTAAACTTGCGGTGGCACAAAAACAGTTCCTTCCATACACGACCATATCACAGCAGCAGCAACAGCGATAACGTGCCTTAACAGGAAGGCAGCTTTCCGTTGGCCCTCGGATCGAGTTCTTTTGAGTCTCTCTTTGGGCAGCAGGGATCACTCTGTACTAGGGTAAACACTGCTTCAGTTGCTGACACCATTATTACTATGGGACATGCGTATTGCTAACTTCACAAAGTCAATACGAGAATGTATCCTGTGGTAAACAAAATCCTTACCAAAGCATACTATGGGTTGAGTAACATCTAACGACTAAATTACCTACAAAATGGGGCCTGTAGACATCCTCTAGTTCAGTGCTAGGTACAGTGTCTGCATGCGTAGATTGTACCGTTGAAGTAATCAGGCAACATGATATCGGCCCGATGACCGTAATGTCTGAATTCAATATTTCTGGATTCACTCCTTGTCTAAGGAGGGAGTTGCTATTGCTATACCAAGAACAACATACAACAGCTGTGGCGCGTCTGCGAATACTTTTCTGGGACAATAACGTAAGAGTAAGAATGTATTGACCCGTTCATGTAGCAGACAGCCAAATATCAATATACGAAATGAGAGAAACGGATAAATTTGTGCCCCGTACTCGAAAAAAATCGGAGAGACTTAGTGGCCAGTACGATAAGGCTTTCTTAGAAGTTGGATAATACAGTTGTGCCAGATGTTACGGATAAAGAATGAAGAAGGTAAATATGTTGTAATATTATATTTGACTAGTAGGCAACAAGTGAACAGAGCATCGCTTCTTTGCTTTTCAGCAGAATATCAATATCTTTTTAATTCCAGTCTAATCAGACATCTCTGCTCCCAGCTACAACATCCAGGTGAAGCTATATGTTATACGTCTGTATCGACAGATAGCATATATTTGCTTATGTTTATTGTATGTAATTATGAGCTATTTGCTTTTGGACGTATTCTTTAGCTGGGGTTACCGCTATATTCAAAGCTCCGATTGCTCGTGCTCATTATATTAACTGGTAGATAACAACTATCTTTGTCAAATACGTACGTCTATAATACATTGCATGCGCGTGTCTATAAACGTGGGGTTTGTTGAAGTTTTTTGGCTGCTTCGTGCCTCAAGCTTTTAAAGCTTACCTTTTCCGTTTAGGCCCACTCAGCTATAATATTTTAGAGTCGAACAAATAACAATCAACATAGGTAACGAAAGCGTTTGCTCAGTGGCCTTGTCATCCCGTTGATTGCTTACCGGGGTGACGTGCGGTTACCGCTCCTCACTAACCTTTGCGATTCGTATTCCTACACAGTAAGATTTGTCCGTTTCATTCTCAGAAGCAGGTAGATACTCCTCTATTGCACTTAGCAAATGAAAACCAATAAAATAATCCCGAAGCAAACTAACCATTTGTCTTGCTATCCAAAGCGTATATCCTATTACGCGTCGACGATGTAGACAAACTTCCAATCAAATAGTTAAACCCGGCTTCTTCTTCAATTTTCGGCAAAATTATTAATGACGATGCTTTGTCAAATTTGTGGGTTATGCAGTAGCGTCAGTATGCCATACATCGAGTTGAAACGAGTCTCCGCAGCTTAGAAATTATTCTAAAAATATCTATGGGTGACGACACTTCTCAGAGCTGAGGTGGATGTTTTTCTTCAAAGCACCCTCTCATTCGGCATTGTGATTTTAACCAGCTTTAACTTCCCGATTAATACCATTAAGCAACACCCTGTCTTACTTTTTTGCCCTTCAAGCCTGCAATCATTGACTTATCGCGCGTTTTTAGAGTACCTCACCTACGGATACTACTCTAATGTATCATAAATCGCTTAATTCTGTCGTTTTTCTTCTTCAGCGACTTCAGTACTCCACTGGCATCGTTCAGCGACAGCGCCACCATAATCACTACACAAACTCGATGTGTTTTTCACTGCCACCGCACAACATCAACTCGGTTGACGCGAACATACGCTGTCATCCCTGAAAGGGAAACATTTATCTCTGGCAATAATGCTTACGCTGATCGCGCAGCTCCGCCGACAACATTATCGACGAAGAGGAAAAACAATCCCAACGACAGCGGTGTTCGCCGGCTGTACTAAGTCAAGTTACAAAGTTCCAAGGTACGACCAACTGTGCTTCGGAACTACTGATGCGAGCATCGTTATAGAAGCGCGTGACTCCTGCGCGACCGGTTTACTTGCTATGATAGTAATAGTGCCGTTGCTACAAGTATAGTGGGTAGTCGTAGCCGTTCTCCTCTGCAATCTAACGGCAACGTTTTTCGTTGTCGCCGTCGACGTCGGTTTGGGCTAATCGACGTTCAGCGCTTGCTTTTCGCAGTCGAGCTGCTCTCGCAGTCGTCACTGCAACTGAAAGGCGACTACAGGACGAATGGGAGGGACAAGCGTTTAGCAGGAGCACGGCTTCTAGCCGAAGCGTCAACGCAGCGCCTAGCGACGAGTGCTCATGGCAGGAGAGGGTTTTCTAACAGCTAGAAATGTCGGATATGCAGCCCGCTGCGTAAACGCATCATTGGGTTCTGCGAACAGCGACTGCTGTGGTGGCTGAGCCGTGCTGTTTGCGGCCAGCGCAAAGGAATCGTGGTGTAAAGTGGAGAGGGATCGAGACGGAACATAAACAAGTCGGTCAGATATCCATCCGCCCCTCTATCTCGGTGGAAGAATCATGTAGCAGTTAGCGTTTCGCAAGCTGACCAGGTATCATCATAGGCATCGACCAACCTACAACGATGATATATTTACTGTCCTCCTGACGAAATCAACAACACACCAGTATGTGTCTGTCTATTGCTGGTCATCTGGTCAACGCTTCGCTAAAAAGATTTCACGCGCAGAGACAGTCGGGTGACGATTTTGTCCTCGTCTATATCATCTCACGCTATGAGCGCTAAGTGCTGACGAGGCCGACTCCATAGCTAAAATAAACTATGGCGATCGATAGCCTTTGCAAGTATTAGACGAGATATACTGGCAAGAAAAGATTCTGACGCGTGAAGAGGACTGATTCTTGACAGACCGGTGGCTAGTTTTGATTATGTTTGTCTACCAGCAGCGTTACTTCTCCGTTGTCATGACTATTAGCACCGAGCGCTTTCCACGCTTGCGTTGATAAGGAAGAGGTAGAAGAAGGAAGTTCCCTGATGTTCACATCAGGGAACTCTGTTTTGTGTGTGTTACACGTTAACTGTGTACAATATCATTTCTTCATAGCGGCCTAGAATTGAAACACGGAAAGCCATGCCGAAATGTGTAAGGAGAACGACCATTTGCGCTTTTTTTTTAAATAAAATTTTCTAGTCTGTCAACTAATTCTCCTTTTTATTTTTGGAGCCCATTTTTTGCGCATGAATTCTGTAACAAGCAACTAGTTACGCATAATGACTCGTTACCTACGCGGCAGGTGTATGCCATCGTATTTTCGACGTACATTAATAGCTTTCTTATAATTAACATGTCGATCCGAATAAGAAATCAGCAAAGATGCCCACAGATGAAAAATCAGAGAACGCAAGATAGGCTAGCTTCGCTGCCTGATTTAAAATTTTATTGCTATGCTCTACGCTCTTCGTGACGATTTGGTTTGTGATTGCTACATAAAACTCTTATGCTGTGTGCAATTATATGACGTATTATACACTACAGGTTTTGTCCCCTTTGATGGATGCCCGTTGGCCATGATGTTGCTCCTTTAAGAGCTGCTTTGCTCTATCCAGCGTGCGAAAAACACCCGTTCTCAGTCCAATCGACATATACCTTTTAAATCAAGGATAATGGGAAAACCCCACGGAACCAAACACCATAGTTTATAAACACTGACAAAGGCCGCGCAATGCGTTTCCGCAAATGCACTCATCGTGCATATCATGGGGAAAATACAAAGTTTTTCCGAATCCTCGCAATTTAGACTTAGATGTATGTATCGTGTACAGGACGTGACCGTAATGTTCTTATGAACGCGATGCTCGGGCTATCGGTAAGCAAACACAGCTCAAAATGAGTGAACAAAGTCATCAAAAGTCTGTTAGACTGGCAAATTGAAAAACGCGCTCAGTCGTCACAGACGAGGCAATGGATAATAGTACTGGAAAATTTTGACTGCGACGTCTGAACTATTCCACTGGTTACCAGAAGCGATTTTTGCGGGTGGCCGATGCGGGCAGTCAACGAGAAAAGTACAGGATAGTGGTATCATGAGCTCGTTCATTCGATCTAAAACGTCCAAAAGATGGTGTGTAGAGATATGATTGGTGCGACCAGGTCTAGCCAGCCAGCCAGCCAGCTCGAGGAGATAGTGTTAGGATGGTACTAGAAATGGGAAAGAGATAAATGTAATATAGTAGATAAGCTATCGACTGTTAAATATAATGTCGGTTGGCGATTCTACTGCTGGTTTTGTTCGTTTTTTTTTTATTTTCCATAAAACGTATAGCACAGGAGACTATTTCGAGCCAAGAGCTGCATAGTCAGTCTACTATCCATACATTACGACGATAAGTCATGACTACTGGCTCATTTTCGCTCAACAGTTAACAACTCATGAGCATAAATTATAAAAGACTTTATTACATGCGACGGACGAACTTGTTTTATATTGCAAGATCAGCTCGAGCATATACACTTACGAGCATAGAATTACATGAATCAATAGCTATTACCGAGGATTTTTCGTTTATTGTAGGAAATAAGAGTGAACTTTTGTTTTCAAGCCGTTAGTTTAGCAAGAGTTAGAATAGGCATCTCACATCGCGCATCGGCTGATCTCTGCAGCGATGTCCTATTGAGCGTAGCACTTTCAAGTGCATGTATGTTTGCCTGTTAATATCTTCTCTGGTTTGAAAAACAGCTGCGGCAAGATAATTCAAGGCTTATTTTGTTTGACGTCACGGTTATTGGCGTGCGTGTCTTTGACTTGATGTTGGGATTCTACCACCGACCGCATTTATATTTTCTCGATATTGTAATGTCAAGATTATACACAATTATTGTGGTAACAAAGTTAATTGAAGCAGGCTCCCTTTATCCAACGGTGTACACAGAATGAATGTGATTTGTAGAAAAATCACTATATTCTATATAGAAAAGATTGTCCTTAAGTACTAGCCGTCAGTTTCTATAATTGTCATTCATCATTTATTATTAACCGTTAGATAGGGACATTCCTCTAGACACGCGGTGCTACCTGCAAATTGGCATATTGCATAAAAACTATTAATTCTAAACAATCAAGCCCTGTGCAATCCATTGATTTCAAAACGTACATATATCAATGGACTTGACAAGCTCTAAGCACAACTACTTAAAGAGCACACGAAGACGGAACCGGCCACTGAATTGTGTGATTGCTAATGTGGTTTCTCAGAGCACCGTCTAGCTCGACTGGCGACCAAAGGGTTGGTTTTTCGCTCAAGGAAAATTCAGTATTCAGTGATCAGGATTCAATAAAAATACTACAGTTGAAAGAAATAGTCTATGCCCGCGCAGCATCCGCTGCTCTAGTACTCACATAAGTACTCACTTGCGTACTATGCCATTTGAGTGAAGTAGTCAGTTGCCTATTTCGAACAAGTGTAGTAGGCAGGAGCCGATACTGCTTCAGTTCGAATGTGTGTGTCAATACGTGTGAGATGAGCGTGCTAGAGCTATAGAAGGATACCCCTGAGGTAGAATACTGACCGCTCTACAGACAAATGGATCTTCTCGAAACTGACCAGCGACTGAATGTGGTTAAATTTAAGACGCAGCTTAGTTTACACATAGATTTACATCACAACAACCTTAAGGTTGAACAGAACGGAGCGTCCAACGAACGTGTTTATCGGATACTGAAAAGAGAAAAAAAACCAATCAAAACCAAACGTACTCTTCGAACCCGTTCATGGCACGCTGACAGTATAACAGGGCTTATCACGACTGGCTAAACATGAGTAGAATATGATCCTATTCGAGCTCAAAATAGGTTATCCCTCTTGTGGTCCGGTCCAGTAGAGGAACAGTCTACACGAATAAAGGGAACTATATATGATAGGTAGGTGAATTAAACGATACTTGTATACATCCTTCCACGCAACATAGTCCTTTTTGTTTAACGAAATTGTCTATTACCATTCATCTGACCATATTATTAGTATTAAGGCATCACTGGCAATGGAATAGCTGAATGCGCTACAGCTGGTGCTACAGTTACCCCCCAACAAACAAATGAAAAAGTTAGTGTACAACTTTGCAAGATTCAAATTAACGACGAAATAATAAAATAGCAAAAAATATATCCGTTCCATTCTGTTTTTTACCATCTCATCAGCTACAGTGACTCAAAATAGTAATGCTTACGCCTAATTTATAAGTGTAGTTTACTCACCGTTCTCGTCCCCATAGAAGAGTTCGTTCCTTGAGTTCATTGTTATATCATTAGTTATTATTGCTACTTTGAGTAATTGCCTTCGCATTGGCCTGTAATGTTTCAGGACTGTTTCGACTCTTCTGTCTTTGCAGGACATCACGTAAGTGATAAATTTTTAAGCTAATAATAATGATTTTCAATTAAGAGCTAGATACTGCGTGTTATGAATAAAATCTTCTTGCGCCATAAATGATCAAACAAGAAGCGAAATAAACAATTGTTCGTTTTAATCGTACAGTCAAAGGTAAAGGCAAGTTAATAAGATTTAAACTCTAGACTGAAGCTTGTTTTAACGTAAGCTCGAGCGTTTGGCATCCTTAAGGACGGGTCGACGAAATTGGCCGGAGTAATTATATTTGTATCTCTGAGAACGTATCTGGATCCCATCGCGATTCTGCACAACCGTTTAACAGCTGCAACATAGCAAATTTGATAACATATTTGCCTCGCAAGATTACTCTTCACTAAAAGATAAATATGAGCTTAAGTAGAATTTATTTATGTAATAGTAGCTTTGTCCTGTTTCAGAAGTGCAAGGTAGTCTTTGCTATTGGTAGGTGATAACGTGTTTGCCTATGGAAGCATAATAGTCTAGGTTCAAATGCGGCCCTAAACGCACCTCTTTTGTGCTGGAAGCCAGTTTTCTGACGATGTTAAACTCGAAACGGATAGCAAGCATATGAAGATTATTGACGTAGCTTTCCCTTTGACCAAAACTCGTACCTAATAACCAAGGTTGCCTTTCATAAGGATTAGACTGTGCAATTCAAAAAACACAGTTAATTTATTTGAACGTCCCTCAGATATCCGCAGCCACGACTGAGACTAAATGCGTACAGACGACATATTGATCAACAAGTTCTGTCCGAAAAACACAGAGAAGAAAGGCTTTTCGCGAACGCTACGGAAGTAATAATGCAGTAAAAGCGCCACCTTTAGTTGAAGCCAGAATGAAAGGCATTTTGGTAATAACTACGTGCTACAG